TGAGATTATTTGAGGAAGAGGAGCCGATTTTACACATGCGCAGGTTGATGAATGAGGCCATTGCTGATGAGAGGTTTGAGGTATTGTATGCTTATGATTCCTTATGCCATTTTTCTTCGAAGTACAACAAAGATCATTCTTTTATTAACAATTTGATTGTGTGGCATTTGAATAGTGGACTTTCATTTTTAATGCTCTAATTATGATTGGAAAGGTCTACTTAGAGAAATTTTTTACTGCAGTGTTTGGTTTAGTTTTAGATAATTAATGTGTTCAAGTGATGCACACAATGAGATTAAGTCTCTTTGGAGGTGATGCACACAAATTGGAGGTTCAGTCTCTTAATTTCTTTCTTAAATTATACATCTTGCTAGAATATCATTTCTTGTAGCAATGAAGTTGCATAAATTGCTGGTTTCTTGAAACATGTCAATATTTTTGTCTCTTAATTCGTAGTATCACTCTTTAATCTTTATTCAATCTGGCTGAGCATGTAACCAAATGTTGACTCTTAACTGCAACCCTTGTTTGGGGACATGAACTACATTACAATTTTTTGAGTTCTAGAAAATATGTACTTAGCATATGTTTTATAATCTGATGCATGTTCATTTGAGGCCCTTGCATCTGCTAACTTTCTACTGTTCTGTTTTCTTGTTTTTGACTTTTCCCTTTTTCCAGGATGCAGCTAGGTACCATGATGAACCTGAAGGATATTGCCCCACACTCTCTCTTGAAATGTTCAAGTGATGCAACAACGTTGGTATGAAAGCCATCTGGTTCTCTTACTAATAATTGCTTACAGTTTACTTTTAAATTCTTAGCATCAGATGGTTTCTATCTTTTTTGTGAGTTTATTATTTTTTGTTAAATAGCACTAAGTTAAATGTTGGTCAAGCTGGTTCATAATACTTTCTTGCATTTTTCCTATTAATTACTGTATGGCAGACTTTTGGGGATGGAGAAAAATATATAAATAAAATGTTCTTGAAGAAATGGCGAAGGAAGGTGTTGCTTGATAATTTATTTTCTGTGGTTTTTAAAAATATTTGTATATGTAGTAGTGTCTTTCGATTCACATCTTATGAAATGATGCAAATATTTTCAAAATTATTTGTTGATTCTCCCACTTCATGTGTCCAGTATCCATTTCGTCTCTACTTGGCTATACTTTTGTGGATGCCTAGATGTTCCATGGAAATTTTATTCAGGTTTCTGTGAATTCAAATTGGTAATATATATACAATCTGCTGTATGATTTATATGGATGATCTTAGATTGTTCGACATCAATTACATCTTTTGATGATTTTTCTTGATTATTGGTGAGCTTTTGTTGATTCTTTGAATTTTAACTTCTAATGCAATTCATTAAAAAAAAATGTGATTAAAATATTTTGGTTTTTCTCCAACTTTATTTGATGACACTAGTTGTAATGAAGAGTGACGATTCTTATATCAATCATTAAACGTCCTTGAAGTTGTCCGAATTTTTTGAGTGTTAAGAATGGCAGTTGATCTATTCAAATGAATGGGTTGGTCGTTCTTACCTTTCCTCAAATACATGTAAGCTTTCTTGGGGCATGGCTTTGATTCTTTTCTATAATAAAAATAATTATATACTATTTCTCCCAACCTGTAAAACTGACTTCTTTTGAGTGATGAAAAAGGTGGTAAAATTAATACATTACTAGTTTAAATACATAATGTCAAAAAAAAAAAAAGCAATTTAAAATACATTACGTGCATTTGTTTGTCTTACACTTAACATACGTCCTTTCTTTCTTTTTCTCATTTTTCAAGTTTGTTAAGGTCTGGGAAAAGTTGTAGACTTCGATGGGTGAATTATCTAATGACTTATTTTCATATTGTAGGTATGGGACCTTGTTACTGGAAGATTTTTACAAACTCGAGCTTTTCCACTACCAATTACTGCAATAGTTGTTGATCCAACAGAGATGAAGTTATTTTCTGGTGGTATAGATTGCTAGTGGATATTTCTTTTTTGTATACGAAGGACATCATTTTTGTAATATTATCTGTTTGTATGGAATTATTTTTTGGGATTGGATTATATTTGGTTTGTATAGAATTTGATGTTACAAGACCAAATTTTTGGATGGTTAAAAGTGAAATAGAAATAGACTTATGTATTGTTTTGTTTATATACAGGGTGCAGGTTGCACAAAATAAATACAGATTGTGCAGAAATTAATAATAATAAAAAAAAATAACACTAAATAAAGTATTCGGTGACTAAATGTTTAGTAGCCAAAAAAACAAAATAAAACTTGTTAGCTACTAAAAATTTAGTAGCCAAAAACAAACCAAAGATTTTTTGGCGACTAAAATTTAGTAGTAAAAAATATATGAGACTTTAGGCGACTAAATAGTTTAGTAGCTAACAAAAAATATGAAAATTATTTTTTTTTTGGCGACTAAATATTTAGTAGCTAATAATAAATGATACTTTGGGCGACTAAAAGTTTTAGTCGCTGAAAATGAAAATTAATTTTATTTGAAAACTTTTGGCGACTAAATATTTAGTCGTCAATTTATGACTTTTGGCTACTAAAAAATATTTAGTCGCCAATACCTCGTACTTTTCCCTACTAAAAATTAGTAGCCATTTATAGGACTTTTGGCGACTAAATTTTTTTTAGTCACCAAAACCTTCCCCGACCGTTTTTCCGCGACAAATCTAGCGACCAAAATATTTAGTCGGGAAAAGGCTTCGGCGACTAAAAACCTTACTTTTGGCGACTAAAACTTTAGTCACCGAAAGTGCATTTTCTTGTAGTGTCAACTAAAATTATAAGCATTAAAATGATATAACGACTAAAGTAGAGGAACTAATGTCACAATTTGTCCTAAATAATAAGCTTGTTAATTACAAGAAAAATTTTATTCTTTCCTAATTTCTTTACAATATTATACATATGAGTATTGCTTCTTTTTCTTTTTTTTAACCAATATGAGTATTAATATTCAAATCCAAAAATTAAATTCACTTTTTAAGTCTAATTGATTTGGTAATCAATTAAGATATCTAAGTCAACACTTTCTCTTATATTTTTCATAATCAACAAATAATCGTATTATTTACACATCATTAGCTCTAGAAATTAGTATAAAAAGTGAGTTTTTTAAACTGAAAAGTCAATTTGTATATCATTTTTCTCTTACATGTATCAAAAATGTTTGAAACCTCTAAATGAGGGGGCTCTTGAGAGAGCTCTAGATGTGAGTCTCACCTTATGATTTGATATTTTGACTTATGATGTTACTCTTTTTATTTTTATTTTTTTATGTATTGCCACATCACTAGAGTTAACATTAGAGCTCCAAGTCTAGTGCTCTCTATCATCACTCTTACATGTATATATATTTCGTCATTAGAATGATGTAATAGGCTTTTGCTCTGATGTCATAGCGCCACAGCTTAATAGCAACAGGTGTAAATTTTCAATGGAAAATGATTTGGATAATCCTACATAAGCATACTTTTAACGGTAAATTATACTTTGCACTCTATATTTTGTATCAAATCTCATTTTAATCTCTACATATAAAATCATTACAGTCAATCCTCTACACTTCTGATCAAATCCTACTTTAGCCCTTGCACATGAAATTATGACAATCAACCCCTCTTATTTTTGGTAAAATCTCACTTTGATTCCTACATAAGAACGTGACTACGACATGAGAGTAAAAAAGAAAAATCATTTATATTTTTTTACTAATACACACTTTATTCTAAAATTTACATTAAAATATGATTGTATGAGGCTAAAATAAAATGCATTTTATGAACAATTAAGAAGATAAATTGGGATTTTGCATAAATTGAAATCATGAAACTCTATTTTTCACGGTAACACAATCTTTTGTCTATTCATCTTTCTTTCTTTTTGATTTTTCTGTTGTATTTTTTTTATTTTATTTCAAAAGCTCTACTTTTCTTACCTTTTCGTCCCAATTTTATCATACGAACATATATATATATATATATATATATTGTATTATATAACTTTCATGTATTTATCATGTCAAACAAAGTGTATTAGTGGGAAACATGAATGATTTTCCTCTTTTATCCTTATTTCGTAGTCACATTTTGTTACATAACTGGATTTTGTTAAAAATTTAAAAATGAAATAACAAAAGAGAGACATTGACACTTGTGTAGTAATCAAAGTGAGATTTGAGTAAAATGCAAGGTGTTGACTATTACGATTAGAGATCAAAGTGAAATTTGATCAAAAATGTAGAAGGTTGATTGTCATGATTTCATTTATATAGACCAAAATAAAATTTAGTACAAAGTACAAAAATACAAATGTAATTTATCCTAATTTTAATTTAAAACGATATAGCTTTACGTGCTCTTTTTCATTTTAAAACAACCGCCATTCACATCATTTTTATTTGACTTATTTGATTAATTAATTAATTAATTATTATTATTATTATTATTTTGGCTAAATCTCTCTCATTGGTTTTTTTTTTTTTAAGTGAAAAGAACATTTTGCATGTTTTAATGTGATATTTTTTATAATTAGTTAATTATTTTTATTGATTAATTTAGTTGAAATAGTTCATGCCAAAGGAAGTTTAACTAATTTATCAAAAATCTCTTTCATTCATAAAAGACAAATAAATTTGGTTCTATTTACCCTTAATAACTAATTTTCTTTTTCAAACTTTAAAATGATATAACTTTTAATCTATATTTTTATTTTTAATAAAATTAATATTTTTAAAATTCTCTCATTAAGATTTATTAAATAAGATTCATGTTGGCCATGAAATTCTTTAAAAACAAACGGCAAATTTTTTTCTATCGAAACTAACATCAATAAAATTAAAATGCTACAGTAAATTTATTGTGAATTAGAGTGAGATAGAGTAAAGTTATACTGTTGGCATTAATTTCAACGATGAAAATTTTATTTTATTTTTAAAAAAAAATCATAACCAAAATGGATTTTATTTTATAGATATTGATGAGCGATTTTAAAAATATTAATTTTATTAAAAAACGACATGTAAAAAAAAAGTTATATTATTTTAAAATTTAAAATATTAAATTCCTCACTAGAGATATTTTAGTAATGGTGATGTGCAACTTTTAAATGAAATTTTTTTGTAATTGTCTTTAATGCATAAGAATTTTATTATGAGAAAGTTTTGTTAAAATTTTCTTTTTATATATAGAAATTTTTTGTTTCTGGGGTAATTTATTTATAGAAACGGCAGAGTGCTAGGAGTCTCAAATTTTCGGGGCTCGAATGCCTCTATAATTCCTCCATTGCTTATTTTTATTTTTATTTGTTGAGCTGTGCTTTTTTTTTTTTTTTTTTTTGAAAAAATTTTTTGGCCCCAAAATTTTGGTTTTTTTTTTTTTTTTTTTTTTTTTTGTGCAAGGTGTTTATGTGTAGGGGTGTGCTAAAAAATTAGATATACCGAACCAGCTTAGTCTACGTGGTTTGATAGGGTGATAAAATTGACTGATTAGTTAGGCTTCTGGTTAAAATTTATTAATTTCATATAGTTTTGTACAGGTCTATACTATATTTTTATTTCAAATCAAGAATAGTATAGACTCGTACAAAATTATATAAAATTAATAAATCTTAACCAGCAGCCTAACTGATCAGTTAATTTTATCACCCTATCAAACTACACACAGGCTGAGTTAGTGCGAAATGTCTAATTTTTTTAAAATAAAAATATAGTATGGAGTCGTACAAAATTATACAGAATTAACAAATTTTAATCAGCAACAAAACCAATACATCCCAATAAATAAAAAATAAAAAACCAACCAACACAACCTAAAAAAAAAAAATTCGAGGCATTCGAGCCTCAACCATTAGGACCCCGAGCACTTTCCTCATAGCAAAATTCTATTAGTACATTTCAATAATGTTTTGAAGAAACCACGTTTCAATAATCTGACACTAACATGGTGCGTCAGACCATCCAGTTTTTCTGTTGTGGGCCTAGTTGGGGCTCATCTTGGTAGTCGATGAGAAAAGAGAATGGTACATACCTTTATCTTATAATTAAAAAACAAGATAATATAATTATATATTTTTTTAAATTATAATTAAAAAGAAAAAAAAGTTATAATCAAACATTATATGAGGTATAATTATAAATCTCATGAGTTATAACTAAAATAATACCATAATTAAGAATAAAAATTATCATAACTAAAAAAAAAAATAGGGATTTGTATAGTAAAATTTCCGTAATCTATATAGGTCATCTTGTACATCTTGCCAAGATGATTATCTACATAAAAAATCAAATTAATCAAATATCGATATCATCGGATCACGTTTATCTTTATTGTTAGAAATTGGGCGCCCATGTGGCATGACCCTTAGAACCTTTTGAACCTCATCCAAATGGGTTTTGAATTTGAATTCAAACCTATTTGGATAGCCACTCAGGATATATATCTATCATATCATGATATGGATAGATGATATAGATATCAGATATTATTTCATTTAACAAATGGATAAATGAGATAAATAGATTATATATATGATATATGGGATATGGGTGAAAAAAGTGGAAAAACAACGTATGTTTGTTTTCTTTTCCAAGATACTGACTCTCTCCCAAAATAATGATCAAAGCCATTTGCACTGTGGTTTGTGTGGGTGATATTCACCATTGTAATATCACCCCACTGCTGGGATTGATTGATTAGATTCTGGAAGCACGTGATTTATCCAAGAAGGTTCTATCATCAAGAAGGTATGATATGATTATTTTATCCGCTGCATATTCTGTGATCTTTGATTTACATTGGTATCAGAGCATGTTAATGGATATTTTCGTGTTTCCTATAATCATGTGTATACTTTTATATGTATGTGTGTATATTATACACATGAATATTTGTAGAGGAAGAAAAAAAATTTCAGATTAGGAGCATAAATATTTTTTCTTATGTTCATTAATGTCTTTTTTCATACAATAAATAGTTTTATTTTGAAAAAAGGAGTCTGGCAGTACAAAAATTGGACCAGAAAACACCCTGGAAGGCGGCGC